GACACTTGCTCTTCCTATAAAGACACCAGTTCTAACAGACAGCAGCTTGTGCCTATGAACTCATGTAACCTCAACTGCATCCACACAGTTCCCATCTTCAAATACAGTCACACTCGGGGTTGGGGCTTTGACATCTGAATTTTGGGAGAACACAGTTAAGTCCACAGTCATACATATTTCAAATAAACTCTGAGAAACAAACATAGTTTTTTGTATTTACCTACATACTTATGATTTCCATTGATTTTTTTATTTCTCTCTGATAATTTAAATTTCCACCCATTCAGTAATTTCCCTTCAGCCTGAGAAACTTCCTTTAGCATTTCTTCATTTTCTTGGAGGTCTATTGGCCAAGAAAAAAAAAAAGAAAAAAAATTCTTTGTTTTCTTTTTTAAATGAATTTATTTTTCCTTCTATCTTGAACACATATTTTCCCTCAATATAGAATTCTTGAGTTTTGTTTTTTTCCCTTTAGCACGAAAGTGTCACTGTTTTGTATTCTGGCACCATTGTTTCTTGTGAGAAGTCAACCATTACTTGTATTTTTTTCCCCTGTGTAAAGTGTATTATTTTTCTCTGAATATTTTCAAGATTTTCTCTTAATATTTGGTTTATATTATGGTGTACTCAGATGCAGTGGTCTTTGGATTTATCTTCCCCCAGGTTTGCTAAACTTTGAGTTTATAAATTGCTATCTTTCACCAAGTTTAGAAAATTTTCAGCATTTGATTATTGAAATATCATTTCTGCCGCATTTGCTCTCATTCCTCCAACTGTGACTCCAGTTCATATATTTAATATCTTTGGCTATTATCTCACAGGCCCCTGAAGGATTTTTATTTGTTTGTTTGTTTGTTTTTCATTCTCTGTCTCTCTCCACCAATCAGATACTCTCTATTTATCTTTCCATTGACTATTTTTTCTGTCATTTCCAATCAGCTATGAAGCTATCCATTTAATGGTTGTTCCAGAGATTTATCAATAGTGGAATATCCCTTTTGAATAGTTTCTGGTTCTTACTATTTTCTAACTACTATCTGTTTATTAATTATTAGAATATTTATTAATATTATCCTTTACATCCTTAAGCATTGTTAAACTACTGAATTCTTCTAACATCTCTGTCGTCTCAGGGCCATTGTCCATTAAATGGCTCTTCTCTTAAGTATGGATTAAATTTTCCTGTTTCTCTGTTTGTTTACTAATTTTGCATCATATCTTGAACATTGTGATCGGTGGGTATATTGTCGAAGCACTGGGTTTTTCTTATTTCCCTGGAGACTAACTTGATTTGGCTGAACTCAAACTCTGAATTTTGTCTCTCCTGTGATGGGCACCTACTGAAATTTCTGCTGAGTTATTTTAGCCTTAGCCAGGCTACTTAAAATATAATTCAGAGATTATCCAGAGATACAGTGGCATTTATATGCATACCGTTAAGCTCCCTGTCTATGTCTCTGTCCTTTCTCATATATCCCACCCCTTACTTTCTGGTGCTTTGGTTGCCTTGAATTCCAACCTCTCATTTCTTAACTAGGACAACTGCATATTTCTATCTGAGTATGAACTAGCCTGCATGACACTAATTGGTGCCTGACTTTAGGTAAAACTATAAAATCAGAAAATATATTGCTATTTTTTCCTACTGTGTGTCTATTCCTCTCTAGTTTCTATGTGATTTTGGTCACTTTCTAGTGTCTTCAAAGAATTATTTGATATAATTTAATCAGCATTTATAATTGTGATCTGTGGGAGAATTTATATATGAACTATTCAGCCATTGTATGATGTAGAACCCCTGAATGATGTCTTTTAAAGCAAGTGGGATTGCTGCACTTTCCTGATTGAAACCCTTCCATGTCTTCCCATTGTATATAGAATAAAATATAAAGCCTTTGCCACAGCCTGCTTGATTTGACCCACTTCCTACCTTTTTATCCTCATTTTATACACATTTCCTCCTTACTTAACTCCAATCTAGTTGCACTGGACTCAGTTCCTAGGACATATGAAGCTCTTTCCTACTAAAGAATCTTTGCATTTGTTATTCTGTTTATTGGAAATTAATGGTTCTTCTATTTTTCATGTCTTAGCTTAAATTTCACTCTCAGATCTTCTCTGAACCCTCTAAAATATGTACCCTTACAACAGTAACCTATTTATATACTTCAAAGCATTAGTCACTGTAATTATTATACTTACTTGTTGATTGTATACTTCAGTAGAATGTAATCTTCATGTGGACACAAAGTATATCTGTCTTAATTGCTGCTGAATCCCCTGTGATTATTTACTATGATGAGGACAGAGTAGGTGTTCAATTAACATTGTTGAATCTCTAGAAAACCTTAGTCTAAACTATATTTATTGACTATTGGCATGCCCACTTCCTACTCACAGGCAGAGCTTTCTTAAAGCAATGACTTTTACTTATCTTGGTATCCTGAGTTATTAGAAGAATGCCTAGCACAAGGTAGCCATGTATTTCATGAATAATTAAACTAATAAACAAACTGTAAAAATGCACAAAGCTACCAACTTTGATGGTAAATAAAACTGACTAAACTAGCTCTATGTTAAATCAGACTTTACCTGTACATGAAATTGTACTGTGTAAAGCTAATACTAAAACTGTAAAAAACACAAAAAATGTACATTATATTTTATTTGAGGAATGTTTGATCTTAAAAAATGTTCACTATTGAAATCCACAGTCCTTTCCAGCAGCATAAAAAACATTGTCTAGATTTAGGTTTCTTCTTTCATTAGATTTTCATGAGAATTTCAAGCCAGGTTGGTGAGGGGAGGAGCAAAATCTTTTCACTCTGAGATAAGACTAGGTAAGTAAAGAATTGGTGAAGAAAGTGACATTACAGGTAAATGCAATTGGAACAAAGGCAGTTGTGACAAGTGATGAGCATTTTTCTGAGCCTAATGATTTCTTTATCTGCAAAACAAAAGTAAAAGAAAGCCTCCAGACTAATACTTAAAACTGATTTTAATAGAGAAAAACCCATTATGCAAAAAGATAGTTTTTTCTTAGCAAAATAATCATAGAACCTAAAATTCTTAAATTCTCAGTTTGCCTTTGTTAAGTGTTTTTCTTCCCTGTGAACTCTTTGAATACAGTTTTGATATCTCAGGCAATACCGTTCTTATGTAATTTTACAAATACTTGGCTATTTGTCATAATAATTTACTAAATGTTTTAGAGGGAGAATTCGAAATGGTGTTGTCCAGAGTCATGGCCTGAGTGAGGCCTGAACTCCCGTCTCCAGGACTCCTTGTCTGTGTTCTGGCCGCCATACCAAGGGTCAAAAACTCAAATGCCCAAAGGAGTCAGACAGCATAAATGAATAAACAGACTAGGCAAATATATGCACTTTGTGCACAGAGAAGTTTTTCTGTCAACTCCCAAGTACTCCTGTGCTGAATTCCCCATTCGCTCCTTTGACAGACACATGGGCACAGCAGATCTCTACTAAAAGCAAAATATTAGTGTGTCATGATAATAAATTGATGAAATCTTGTGTCTGTTGTTGGGGAGTGACAGGGAATAGTGGTGCTTCTTACGAACCCAAGGGCGTAGGCCTGTCTGAAGGGACAGGATTAAGTCGCCACTCAATTCCAGCTGACTCTTGCTGTGGGGAATATGGGTGGCCCAGTGTTTTACATTTGCTAGTTCTTCAAGAGAAAACAAAATCTGGATTTTAAGGGAAATCTCCCAATTTAAAAATATTGCCTCTTTTTTGAAAACTTTATATATCCCAAATAAAATAAATCTGTGAGCTGGATGCCCCCTCATAGTACTCATTGATGGTCTCTGTGTTATACTATATTGCATTTCTATTTCTCCCATGTCCCTAATGCAGATGCCAGCTTTATAAGGAAGGGCCTGAAACTCCAGCCCTAGTTAAATATTGTAAGGTGGCCTTTCCCTCTTGATCTAGACCTGAAAGCCATCCCAAAGGAGATCTGACTCCATCCAGCTCAAGCCTCCTACCTGCCCAAATAGTTTGTAGACTTTTCTGCCTGCTCTTACTGCTGCCTGCTCTCAGAGCTGAAATCTGAGATGGAGGAAACAGGAAAACAGTCATAGAGTCAGGCTAGTTCTGTCTATGTATTTCTAAGGCAACCGCTTGGCAAAAACAGTCCGGTGGTAAAACTGGTTATTTCACTGGGAAATAAATAACCACTAATGGGACACTATGTTCCCATATACTTTGCTGAATACATTAGAGAATAAAATATAAGTGGAGAGATCTACCCAGAAACAGGTACTCCAGGCTTTTGAAATATGCGCTCAATTATTTTGATGCATTTGCTTGCTCTTCGCTAATCAGGGTGGGTCTTTTCCTCCAAATGCTCTGAAAAAGCCACAAATGCAGCCGACCATCAGAGATCCTGTTCTCCCAACCATTTTTTACTCATCTGGTGGAACTTCATTTTAATAGTAGACATTATGAACTAAAAACCACCTATATACCAGCCATGCACCACAGCCTTCCCTGCAAGGTAAATTTTATTATGCTCATTTTACAGTTGTAGGAAAGAAGGCCCTCAGAGGTCAAGTAATTTTTCCTAGGTAGCACAGAAAAGGTGTGCTCCAGAGGTTAGTGCGTGAACACCCAGGTCCCCCGCCATTCACCCTGAGGTGCTTCTCCTTCTCACTCCTCTCTTCACTCCTCATTCTTGGACCTGATTCTACCTGCTGCTACCAGTTCAGCCTTGGGAGCTTCATTCCCTACTACACTTCCCTTTAAGCTCCTTTGTTTAGTAAATCCAAGAAGCTGCACTAGGTTAAGCAAAACTAGATTTCTGAAAGAGCTGAGACTTTCTTACTTAATATCTTAATATTAATTTATTATTAATTAATATATTAACATTATTAGATCCTCTATAGACATAGTTTGGAGAAACAGATATTTTAATATACCTTTATCTGGCTTACCCATAGATTGGAGAACCTATGATACTGACCCACTTCTCTTGTTTTTCAGATAGACCACATGGTGCAGGGCCATGCTGCCTTCCCTGAACTACAGGCCAAGGCCACAACCAGGTAACATCTCTCTCTGTTCCCTACCTTTCTGTCCATGATGGCATTGAAGGAATTCAATTTAAGCAGGTGCATTATTTTCATATCCTATGAGCAATGAAAATGCCTGTCAGTACTTGGTTATAAGATAGTCATCTAGACGATCCAGAACATATGTGTATTAATTTTCAAAATGATCCGAGAACTCAAAGAACCTGGAGATCACCCAAGAATATCCCAGGAGCCATAGATTAGAAACTCTCAGTAAAATGAACATGGATTTTGGAGTCAAAACTTCTTGGGTTCAAATCCAGCTTTATTCCTTACAATGTGTGTGACCTTGGGCAAGTTATTCAACCTCTTTAAGCCTATCTCTTCATCTGTAAAACTGAGGATAATAGTTGATTTGGAGTAATTTCCAAAATATATTATTACGTGAATAAAGTGTAGTGCACAGTGTTTACAGTATGTTCCCTTTCACATAAAAAGAAGGCTATTATAAGAAAATACATGTATATTTACTTATCTGTGCAAAAGAAATATAGGAAAGTTAAACCAGAAACTAATAAGATTGGTTACCTATGGTGATGGGTAGGAATGGATGCAAAGAAAGGGGGAATGGGAATAGGGTGGTAGGAGGGAACAACACTTCTATGAGTATACCTTTTCATATAAATCCAACCCTTAGAACCATAGTGGTGCTTTATGTCCCCCTGAAAATAAATAATAAGATAGATAGATAGATAGATAGATAGATAGATAGATAGATAGATACC